GAGACAGTTTACTATGACCCAGATAATGCACAGCTACCCAAAGATCCAGATGAAGTTCAATGCACCCGGTCCATGTGGCAGAAGTTTGTACGGAGCACACCATCATCATACGCCACTGGATTAGCAGTAATGGACTGGAGAGACAAAGAGGGACCAACAGTGAATGAACTGGCTCACCGATAACAACAACATGAAGAAAGTCTCTCTTCCTCCCTTGTCATGGCTCTGGAGAAATTATGTCAAGAATTCCAACAATTTAAAGAGGACATGTCCTACTCCTCACCTGCACAGACCAGAATCTCAGCTATTTGGAGCAGTCGTTTCTCTATTCAAGAGAACCACTACACACCACAGGGGAAGCTGTGGCATTGCCTGCATGACTATGGAGAAGACATGAAGAAAAGGGATAGAAAACCTACCTACCGGTGAGTTGGAAGGAAGAACAAGTACAAAATGTGGTTCTTCTAGGAGAAATGCTGCTCCAGTTTCCAGAAATCAAATGCCCACACAGAGCAGAAAGGTTGACTTTTACTCACAATCCTATGAGAAGAACTTCTGATTTGTATTCCCAAGAAGTGAGTGATCAAGATCAGGCTGAAACACTTGCACACCACACCAGCCCATTTGCCGATAGCAGGTATTATGACCAACATTAGAGGGGCCCTGCCTCCAGCCAGGAGGAGGACAGGAGCGACCGAGTTTATTGGCCCGTGTGGCTTTGATGGCCTGGCACATCTGACCCCCAGCAGTATAAGGCTCTAGTGGACACTGGTGCTCAATGCACCCTAATGCCATCAAATTTTAAAGGGGAAGAACCCATTTGTGGAGTGACAGGGGGGTCTCAACAGTTGACTATTGGAGGCCAAGGTGGGCCTAAATTCAAAAGAGTGGGAAAAACACCTAATTGTCACTGGGCCAGAATCTCCATGTATTTTTGGCATAGATAATCTCAGAAGAGGGCATTTTAACTACCCAGAAGGGTATTGGTGGGCTTTTGGTATAGCTGCCTTGAAAACAGAAGGAAATAAACAGCTGTCTGTGTTGTCTGATCTATCAGAGGATCCTTCTGTTGTGGGATTGTTGGGGTTTGAAGAACGACAGGTGCCAACTGCCACTACAACCATGCACTGATGGCAATACCGCACCAACCGAGAGGCTGTAATCCCTATCCATAAACTGATTTGTCAGCTAGAGAGCCAAGGAGTCATCAGCAAGACATGCTCCCCTTTTAACAGCCCCATATGGCCTGTGCGAAAGTGATGGAGAGCGGAGATTGACTGTGGACTATTGCAGCTTGAATGAAGTCACAGCACTGCTGAGTGCTGCCGTGCCAGACATGTTGGAACTGCCATATGAACTAGACTTGAAGGCAGCCAAGTGGTATGCCACGACCAATATTGCTAACACATTTTTCTCCATCCCTCTGGCAGCAGAGTGCAGGCCAGTTTGCTTTTACCTGGAGGAGTGTCCAATACACCTGGAATCGGCTGCCCCAGGGGTGGAAGCAAAGCCCCACCATTTGCCATGGACTGACCAGACTGCACTGGAACAGGGTGAAGCCCCAGAGCACTTACCGTACATAGATGACACCATTATATGGGGTAATACAGCAGAAGTTTTTGAGAAAGGGGAGAAAATAATCCAAATCCTCCTGAGAGCCAGTTTCGCCATAAAGTCAAGAGACCTGCACGGGAGACATTTTTTAGGAGTAAAATGGCAAGATGGACATTGTCAGATTCCAATCGAAATGATTAATAAAATAACAGCTATGTCCCCACCAACTAACAGAAAGGAAACACAAGCTTCCTTAGGTGTTGTGGCTTTCTGGAGACTTCACATTCCACATTACAGTCAGATTGTCAGCCCTCTCCATCAAGTGACTTGGAAAAAGAATGATTTTATATGGGGCTCAGAGCAATGACAAGCTTTTGAACAAATTAAACAGGTGCAGAAGCCCTCAGGCCAGTTCAGACAGGACAAGATGTTAAAATGTGCTCTACACTGCTGCTCGTAAGAATGGTCCTACCTGGAGTCTCTGGCAGGTAGAGAATCTGCTTGTGAAAGTACGCCATGCAGACGCTCATGTACCCAAGAACCAGACCACTGAAGAACATCACAACAACCAACAGGCGGATCAGGCTGCTGAGATCAAGGTGTCTCAAGTCGATCTGGACTGGCAACATAAGGGTGAACAATTTCTGGCTCGCTGGGCCCATGACTCCTCAGGCCATCAGGGAAGAGATGCATCATATAGATGGGCTTGTGACCAAGGGGTGGACTTAACCCTGGATGTTATTGTACAGGTAATCCATGAATGTGAGACATGCTACAATCAAGCCAAACAGTTAAAGCCCATTTGATATAGAGGACAATCATACCATCATTCAGTATAGGGAGGCCTGACAGATGCTATCATGATCCCACAAACTCAGCATGGCAAACACTTTGTGCTTACAATGGTGGAAGCAGCCACTGGTTGATTGGAAACTTATGCTGTGTCCCATGCCACTGCCCGGAACACCATTTTATGCCTTGAGGAGAAAGTCCTATGGTGGCATGGCACGCCAGAAAGGATTGAGTCAGATAATGAGACACATTTCCGAAACAACCTCATAGATGCCTGGGCCAAAGAACATGGCATTGAGTGGATATATCACATTCCCTACCATGCACCAGCCTCTGGGAAAATTGGTACAATGGATTGCCGAAAACCACACTGAAAGCAATGGGTGGTGGAAATTTAAAACACCGAGACATGCATTTAGCAAAAGCCACCTGGCTGATCAGTACGTGAGGATCTGCCAAGCAAGCTGGCCCTTCTCAGTCAAACCCCATGCATACTGTGGATGGGGATAAAGCCCCTGTAGTGTGCATTAAAAATATGCTGGGGAAGACAGTCTGGGTTATTCCTGCATTGGGTAAAGGTAAACCCATGTGTGGGATTACTTTTGCCCAGGGACGTGGGTACACTTGGTGGATAATGCAGAAGGATGAAGTCTGATGTATGACTCAAGGATATTTGGTATTAGGTGAAAATAGCCAATGAATTGAACTGTCAAACAACCCTATTACTGCAATTGGTGCCCCACAACATCCACCTGCCACATCCAATACCTCCTGCTCCACCAACTGAGTCAACTCCACTTCACTCCTCCAGTCTTAAAGCCTCTCATGACAGATGGAACCCAAAGCTATGGATTAAATGAACTCAGACATTTTGGAAGGATGGCCCATAGACTAAGAGAATGGTATTTGTGAGACCCAGGAAAAGGGGTGGTGATTCCTTAGAATGCATTTGGAACCTGATCATAACATAACTGGTAGGGAGTAAGGGGTGAAGACTGTCCTGGTTTGGGTCAGGATAGAGTTTGGACTTACTATTGTTACTGTTGTTTTGTTACTAAATTCTTTTTTTTAATTCAACCTACGATTTTTTTTTTTTTTTTTTTCCCTCCCCTATTTCACTGGGGAGGGGAAGGAAGTAAACAACTGGCCACGCTGAGTTCAAACCATGACTGCTCTAAATCTCCTTTTATGATACAAACCCTTATGGTCCAAACACACCTTTTAGCATGTAAACCCTTATTTTTCTGCTCCAAGCCCTCAACTTCAGGGGACAAACCCTCCTTTTTACTATCCAAACCATCTTTTTTAACTCTAAGCCACATTTTTATGCTCCAAACATTCATTTTTAATATACAAACCCTCACTTGTAGGTCTCAAATTAAGCAAAGAGCTTAATTGTTTAGGGTCCAAAGGTTCGATTCTAGGCTTCAAAGCTTCCTTTTCATGCTCCAAGCCATCATTTTAGGGTCAAACCCCTCATTTTTACAGTACAAACTCTATTTCTGAGTCCAAACGCACCTTTTCAGGTTGCAAAGCCTCATTTGGCTGCTCCAAACCCTCAATTTTAGGGCACAAAACCTCCTTTTCACTATACATACCCTCATTTTTATGCTCCAAGCCCTCTTTTTTCGGGTCCAAAGCCATGTTTATCCTTCAAGGCTTGATTTTTAGAATCCAAAGGTTTGATTCTAGGGTTCAAGGGTTCTTTTTCCTGCTCCAAGCCCTCATTTTTAGGGCCCATACCCTCCATTTCACAGTACACACCCTAGTTTTGGGTCCAAATCCCCCTTTTTCAGGTGCAAAGCCTCATTTTTCTGCTCCAAGCTCTACCATAGGAAAGAAATCCTTGAAGCTATGGTCGTTGCTGCCTACAAACCCATAATTTGCTAACTTTTTCTGACAAATTTTAAAACTATTTTGAAGTATAATGGAAATCTGCTATTAAGCAGTATTTCGATTAACTTCTAGGAATGTATATTACCAGCAGACTAAAACTTCCTTTGCCTGCACCAAAAATTTTATTTGCTAGGTAGACGTGCTCCCAGAAAAGGGAACTCCATCCCCATGTTGTCCAGTGCAAGGCTGGTGGGTGTTCCAAGTCTCTGGCACTGCAAAGGAAACCACTCAGACATGCAGATAACACCCAGGGTGAGTACAGACACATGGAAGATCAGAGGTCCCACTAATATGACAACACTGCCACAGAAAATGCTGATTCTAGATCACTAGGATCAAAACAGTAAATCTGACTGAGGTCAATAAGAACATGCAGCAAAATAAATACATCAGGATGAACTCTACAGTGTTAAAAAAAAGAAGGAAGTCCTGAAACGCAGCCAAAGATTGGGGAAGAGGTAAGGCGAAGTAAGAGAAGGAATAACTGTGATATTAACCGGATTAATATCTGAGGGAATTTTTATGTTTGGACAAAGTAGGTTATGGCAGCAGAACGATTTAGTGTTGTGGTGGCTGCTGAAGGCTCCTCAGCACGAAGCGTTGGTTCACTTGTTCATTCTGTTAGCAGGTGAACTCCTCATTCGAAGCTGGACCTTGTTTATTTTGCCTTTTTAAAGTTGGTCATTTACACCTTAATGATGACAATGATGACTGTCAAATGTGTCATACACAAGTCAAACAGGAAGTGCAAGACAAGATTTTAATCATTAAAAGTTTATCGATAACCTCTTATATACACATAGTTATACACAAAGTGGTTCACGAGTCCCTCAGCTGAGAGGATGCTGCTGGTGAGGCTGGCTGGTGAAAAGCCATCGCCATCGCGCAGACGGGATTTTCCTGGGGCTGCCCGCAGGGGCTTTAGCTGGGCACTGAAAGGAGTCCATATTCATCGGCTGTGTCCAAAATTTTACAGATGACTGGAGACTCCACCTTGAACATGAGAGGTCAAAACATTAAAGACTATGAAATGGTTGATAAAACTTTTACAAGAGATTGCAACAGAGATCGTGAGATTAACGACAACAGATTGCAAGAGGCACAGTACTCAAGCAGCACTTTGTAAAATTTAGTGCTTTTCCCTTTTGGGTATGGCCTCTATAGCATACCAACCATGTAACTACTGTAATTAATAACGACCCTCCTTCCTCTGAGCAAACACAACTGCACAAAAAGCAGTATTTGTTCAGCAGCTGTGTCTAGGGGCTAAACTATGCTACAGGAAGGTTGTGTGAAGAGTCACTGAAAAGAGGGGGCAGTTTTCAATGTGCACCTGGAGACATCCTCTGCTAGGTGGCAACTGGTCTTAGGGAATTCAAGTATGTCTTTGCCTACCCCAAGGATGTACTGGCAAGAATGAGGCTCTAACATGTATATGGTCACAGCATGAGGAGAATCCGATTCTTTACATCTGAAAAAAGAATAGAAATTTTGTAGTGTTTAGCATGGAATAAGCACAGACTAAACCATGTACTACCCTAGTATCTAGAGCGTTTTTGCTAAGCAGTCCTGGCTTTCTGGGTTTTATGAAGACAACAGAGGTTTCTCCCTCTGACATGGGCAGCAGAGACACAAAACATCAATTTACTGAAAAAGTCAACTTACTTCAATTTCACGGTCACCTGCCTTGGCTTGTCTGTTAAGTCGCACACATCTCCATTTCCATAGAAATGAGACACCATCCTGCCACAAAAGATTGGAATGAAAAAGTTTGGAAATATTAAACACAATTCTTAAGCATGCAGCTAACTTACATGATACAATAGCTCATACTTCATCAAATATGTAACTAATACACAAGGCAAGGAAGTAATGTGCTGTATTTCACTTATTGCAGAAGCGAACAGTTGTTCATTGTTGGAAGATTTTTATTCTGCATCATACCCAAAGTGTTGAATTACCTTTTCTGATATTGCACAATGAATAGGGGTGTGTGTGGGGGTGTGTGTGGGGGTGTGTGTGTGTGTGTGTGTAGAAAAATCTATACAACACCTCTCTTAACAGTTTATGGTACCTATTCATAAATGGAATATTCACACACTGCAGCTGTGGGCCCTGGCATTTATCCTTCTCTAGTGCAAGTGTGAGATCAATTCAGGAGCAGTCAGCCCGAGCAGTAATCATGGTGGCCATAACCGTACCTCACACTCTGTGTGCCATCTTCTCGAAGGTAGTAGGTTCTAGCAGCATTCTTCCTGGACCATTCAATGTGTTCCTCCTTGCTCCAGGTGCCCACAACCACAGATGTCTTGCCACTTTCCTTATCCTAAATAAGGAAAAGCTGATAATTACACTTTGTATTATACAACTAGCAGTGAGCATATTTTAATGACGTGTAGAATGTAATTTCTAGAGCAAGTCTGTTGCTGTCGGCATAACAGGTTCTTGCATTTGGGATAAACTGTGTCTGACCTTGTATTAGGGTCAAGACTCAAGTGGCTGGTCTCTTCAGAACAGCCACCCAGGCTGTGTGAGCTGACAGAAGTGTTTCAATGACCAGAGGAGTATTCCCATGGAAAACCCAAGTTTTTTCAGCTTTGATTATCCCTGTGCTCTACCTGACACAGTACCTACACACCCCTGCATAAACTTAGGGAGCACATGGAGTTTCTTTTCTGAAATCCAACTTCTTAAATCCAAGATGTTGATCAGCCAAGAAAAGGATGCTGCTTTTTTCACATTGTAGGAAGATTCTCTAACTCCTTTTTTCCCCCCCACAGCCATCTAGTGGCAGGACATCAAATTATTTAAACATACCTCATGATACTGATGAACGTATTTGCCATAGCAGAATTCGTACTTCCACCAACCAACACCCTGGGGAGAGGTATAATCTCAATGTTAAAACAAAAACAAACACCCGAATCAAACAAAGCACCCCAGAACTGCAACATCCACTTCCCTCCAGACCCTAAACCACTGGCTATTTCAGCTGTCAAAATACCATAGCTATTGATTAGATGATTCGAGGTTTGCACTGAGAGGGAATCTCTTATTAGGCTAATTAACATAGGCAAGGGATTGAATAAATGCATTTAAGGAAAGACTTTTGGAAGAGCCACATAGGACTAAATTCCTTAAACTATTTGTATACCCCCTATTCATCTTTTAAATAAGTATTTTCCTCAAAAACTTCAGATACATTTTCTCTGCTGGCTGTTCTCTCAGTAAGTTGTTTGTTTGGGTTTTTTTCTTCTCATTAACAAAATCAGCACTGAACAATTTCCATGATCTACTTTCATTTCACTGTCCGCTCACATAAACTGAGTTTCAACAGAAAGGTTAGAGAGACATTTCTGAGTTTGGTATATAAGCCTGCCCTACATCAATGCAGGGAAAGGCAATTACTATGTGTGTAAGAATGCAACTATTAGAGTTCATGGAAAAACAAAACAAAGACCTAAAACGGTATGTGCAATTAAGGAGCAGCTATTTTATTATGCATAGCTTTATTTCTCACCCCATGGAAGCAGTAGGAACCACTAAGAAATTCCTTTATAAGTTGGTCATCAGTCAGTTTGGAGATGTGGGTTGTTCCCACAGTTAACAGTTGATGGCCTCCAACAGCAACAGGCTTATGAATGGAAGAAAATTTCTCTTCCTTTGTTGAATGCATTTCTTCCTGAAATTACAGTATACACAAATACACCCATTTAGATTCCATATGTCCTTTGCAAAGCCTTGTAAGTTATACGAAGTTACTTAATATTAAGTGAAGTGGGCTGTGGGAAGAAATATGAAACCATCTTGTCAGTGTTCTCACTGTCTTCAGCATAGCTGAAAAAAAAGATTGAAAGTCAAAAACTTAACACATTTGTAAACTGTAGGCTATGAAGGCTACCAAAGTGAAGCTCAAAAATTAGAAGCCCAAACTTACTCGCTTTGTTTTCCTTCCAAATAAGGTAAGCTACAGATGATTTCAACAAGCTTAAAGACCAGCTGAAAGACTGACATGGTCTTACAAAGTTGGGTAAGAGAACTTACTCCATTGAACTAAAAGTCGTATGTGTTACAACACAGAAAATAAATATTTTTCTATTTCAAATTAAACAAATCCTACCTCCTTAACCCTTCTAAAAGGCATCTTCATCATTTCTTGCTGTTTCTCCAGCTGTTCCAGATTATGGGGTTTAAGTGGGGATCCTGGCAGTGACTGGCAAAAGATGTCATTCACAGGGGAAGCCCTGAACCTGTCCAAACAAGTTAGGAATACATCACTAGTTATGCCTTAAAGACAAGACATACTTTTTTATTGCTGTAAGTTTCTGACTGAGCTGGGCCGAGGTGTGGATTTTTTTCTCTTGTACTTGCACCATCTCATCCAAAGCTACACTGTTCTTACGACTGACATAAAAACACTTCTTGCCCAGTATAGTCTCACTCCTAACACTGCCAGACAACTAGCCATGCAATCCAACCTCTCTTCAAGAGGAAAAAGCTGTGTATTAAAAGGCAAACTGCACTGTACGTGTACCACTAATGTAGTGTCAAGGCTCCCCAAAGCAGTCTCAGAAGCTAGGAAAGGTTAAACTTGATAGATTCAGTTCCTATATAAAATAATACATTCTTATATTATCTGACATGTATGTCTTTTCATGCTGCATATATACTCATTATTCCTTTATCACTCGCTGCATGAGTCATGTCTGCAAAAAGCAGCTTATTTCCAGAAAGAAAAAGCAAAAATATGAAGCAGAGTTAACAGCTTTCTCCTTACTTTACACAAATGAAGGCCTCATTAAAACACCAAGTAAGGCTTAACAGAAAATAGTAAAGGAAAGTGAACACCAAATTGAAAATCATACTGACAAATGAAGCATTTGTTCAGTTTTTGTTACTCATCTCATTGAAAAGGTCCTCTTTAGAGAACACTTATTTACAAAACAGGTATGCAGATACTGCTTCAAAGGCAAGGTGGCTTTTTGTGATGTCTTCCTAGGGAGTCTGTAATACACAGTAGTACCCACATAATCATCACCATTGTAGTTAAAAGCATCTGAAAACATTTCCTAAATAGTAACTGCACTCTAGATTACATGAGCCCTGTGCCAAAGAAGCCTAGTTTTATCTGAATTTTATTTAAGTAACATTAAGACTAATAGTTACAGTAAACAAATATTACTTTTCACTGCCTTCCTCCCTGTCCCCAGTTCCCACCAATTAAAAAAAAGTCAAATTATAGCCAAATCAGAAAAACAACTAGAACTAAATGATGTACTTTTGCTATGTTGAGGGAAGTACATTATTGGGTAAGATAATGGGTGTAGAGGGAAAGTGCTGGTGGTTCAAGTACTGCACAATGCTGTTTCAGGAACACAACAGGAAAAGTGCACTTAAATGAAAACGAGGTTTGTTTTTTTGTTACCTCTGCTGACACTGAGCAGTGTTTCCAGCCTGCTATCTCCACCTATCTTTATTTACTCAGATGACATAAGTGGGAAAATAAAGATCCTGTATGTTTAGTTTAAGTATTTCCTGATGGTGGCCAGGAAGCGTTCCATGCCTTGCCTTTGGAAGGAGGTAAAAGCTCAAGATTTTATTTTTACCAAACGACAGAACAATTTGCCTGTGCACTTCCTATTTTTCCTTAAGATTAAGACTTAAAAGATTCATATAGTAAACAGGTAATAGTGTCATAGATAAGTGCAACAGATAACATAGTACTACCAAACCCATCTACATGAGAAAATTTATAATAGATACTAAATATTTAAACAATAGCACAACTTATTTACTTCAACTGGCAAGTGTTTATGAAATGCCCAGTTGATGATTCTGTCCTTTAGACTTTGTTGCCTCAGAACAGTGATTAAATACTCACTTGATCCGACGTCTGTGTACAGAGGCAATTCAGAACTCCTGTCCCATTACTCCCTTCATTTGTATATCATATTCACTTTGCAATTCTAGTTATACCCCTTGAAAAGTAAAAGAATCTGTACTATTCAGACAGATGGGGAGCTCCTTAAATTGAGAGTACTGCTAAAATAAATGTTAAGGTCATGCCATACTTTTGTTTTCTGAAATTAGAGAAGAGTCTGTGCACACATATAATACACACATGCAATCTGCCACTTTTGAATAACATGATTCCCCAAGACACTGAAATTATAAACTAAGAGGAGACAGGGTGTTCTCAATCTGCCTGCAGCCTTAATGCCCTATTCTGTGTTTCTCCAGAATGACAGGGCTAGAAACTTACCTGTTGAAAATAATTATACCTCCTCTCTGCTTCTCATATGGGATCAGTCACTAGAGACATAAAATGCAAACATTGTGCAACTTAACATGAAAACTTACGTCTTGGCAAAACTGCACTTGCCAAAGTAAGCACCTACATATCACAGCTCTGCACCAGAAACCACAGCTGGATATAAAACTTATACAAACGCATACATGCATGAAAACTGATGAAAACATGAAGTGATAACATTAACCAAGATTGGGAGTACCGTACCTATATTTAGGATGGCTGCATAACAGAGGTGTCAGTATAACCACTTCATATTCACAGGTTGTAACTTCTGCTACTGAAAGAATCTCATGTTTAGCTTCTGGATGACAGATGTACATCACCGTACTTGATCTGGGCAGGTTTTGTCTCAAGCTGCAGGGTGTGCCGTTTCCCATCTCTACAGGATAGTATGGGGTCATCTGCCCTTCTATATTTTTTGTAGGTATCTAAGTGAAAGAAAGTACAAGTTAAGAATCATAGCAGAGCTCCTTCAACTCTTCTGAAAAAAAAAAAAAAAAAAAAAAAAACACCCACCCAACCCCTGTGTAGTTACTTGGTGTTTCTGCAACATCCAGACATGTTCTGGTTTACCACCTCCAGCCCACCACTGCACAAAAGTGCCAAGCCACACAGGCTCTGACTGCAAAAGCAGCTGGTTCCTCTGCAGAGGCTGCCCGACGTTTCAGTTCCAAGAGAGCTTGCCAGCTGGGTGCAATATTTTGGAAGAGTACCAAGACAGCTGTGGTCACCCTGTAGTCTAGGAGATGGGGAGATGTGAGTAGCAATGCCAGACTCAGCTCAGGTCTGGCCAGGCTCATTACCTTCACCAGGAAGAATCTAAAAACACCCCCACAAAGTCATCCTGATCCCTGTGTTACACGTCTCAGCAGAGCCAGCCCGGGTTGCTCCTTACCTAGAGCATCCCACACCACCAGTTATTATGGCTAATGAATGATGCATACAAAGTAAATCCACTTTTGTACACGCTTTAAGTAAGCTCTCTTCAGACTTGGTCCTTCGTATGTTTCATCAGTTTCCACTTTAAGAAATTAATTCCCCAAACTGGTAAAAGTCCCTCTCCTGACTCCCATCTTGGAAGCAGCTAATGTTCCTGGTGTACCAAAAGTTCCATTTGTGCAAAAACCATGCTGGAACCTACAAACTAGACCTTTTTATGCCTGTGTTGCTTGAGCTAGTAAAGGTTTTCAATGCACAACAAATCGTACTCTGTGTTAAAAAGCAGTGGTGCCTTCTGTGGTCAGGACATTAACCCAGGGACCTGGGACCTTTCCGTATCTCTCTCACTTTGGTTTTCAAACCGTGATACCCTGTCACAGGCCACTGATTCTCTCCTCCTGAAAACTGTTCCATCACAAATGGAGTGATGAGATATTCCTGAGGTTAAAGAATGAACATACCGGCAGCATAATCGTGCGGACACTCCTTGGCTTCCACTCACTTACCCACTCTATACCTCAATATTCAAAGGGAAATGAAGAGATATTCTGGCTGTGTACAAAAGAGCTGACAAAAAGAATACCAGTGCTTTCACTTTCTATCTTTCTGAACAAAACAACTGATTTTTCCTTAAAAACTGAAAAATTATGCCTACGCATTTCATTGAAGGTAACTATTCAATAAATCTAAATGGAGATAGCTGTTGTTTGCACACAACTGAAAGACACCCCAGCAGGACTTAAAGTAAATCTCTAGTCGCAGTAGGTTTTGGTTAATTTAAGCACCACCCAGTTGTGTTGTGCATTCTTTCCTTTTCATGACTAGATATTCCATGCAAATTGCAAGTATAAACTCTTTACAGACTGAAACCAAGACAGCGTATGTACATCAAAGACTTAACTCCCTCTGAAATTTAAAAAAAAAAAAAAGTTAAACTACAAAGAACCTAGTTTTCTTGAATTCAAAAAGGCGTAACTGCCACTGACATCAGAATGGACCATGTCCTGACTTGGGTCTGCTCCCCCAAAATGCTTATCAGGCATGTGTATTTTCTGAGACCCACTGCAGAACTCTATGCTACATAAATCAGCATTACAAAGAGCATGTAGACAAAAACTTAATTTCAGAATTAAATAGAAGGATAATGGGAATTAAGGTAGGCAAGTGTCTGTCCACAGGTCAAATCTGCTATTGCTAACTCCAAACTCCAACATGCTTCAGGTACTTCCATTGTTTTGCCATAAAGTTAGTGACTCAGAACTGAGTTTTGGGGCCTAAACAAATGGAAAAGTTCTCTAATGGAAAATGGAAGCACAGAGTTTTATGGGATGAGTCATCAAGTCAAGAAATCTTTTAGGGATTTCGCGCTGCAGGATTCTGTTAAGCATTTTTCCCTACCCAAAACGCACAGAAGTGTCATTAAAGGAACTGGGATCTCTGATGTAGCTGGAAAAAATAACTGTCACGAGACCATAATGTGACTTTGTAGTTATGTGTATTGTCTTCATAGAAGAGCATATAATTAATCTCATTTAAGATTAGTGTAACTTTAATGTAAATAAGTAGGAAGGCAAGAAATTTGACTAGCTAGACTAAATAAGCTTTCTGAGCTGGTACTGATAATCAGAAGTGAGGAAGAGCGCAACTCAGGAGCAGAGTTACATTTTTTGCTGTTCATTTTGGTAGGGAACTAATTACATAACCTCATCATATATAAATTGCCTCCAGTACTGATGGCAAAAGTTAAAATAGATGTATTTCACTTGCCTCTTTTGCACTCTCTTTTGGATTTTCCTTCTCTTCTTGATCTAGGGAATAATTAAGAATGAGGTAAGCATAAAGTCTGTGAACTTGAAATAAAATTATACAGAGAAGTTTGCATGTTTTGTGTATTTGCTAGTACTTTGTGTATACACTGCCAAAAGTCAACTTCCTGAACTTGCAGGTGAAAAAGAGGAAAGAAAGGAAATAAACAGCAACCTGTGGTCTAGAGCAAATAGAACAAAATATCAGTTAGCATTGTCTTAAAGCAATTTTGAGTTTGTAGGACAGGCCAAATCCAGCCCTAGCACCACAGGAAGGCCAGAAGAACATGTCACTACTGCTGTTCTGCGAGGGGTAGCCAACTACTGCTTTCCAAGTGAGTGAATGACAGGCTGGGACAGCAAAGAGGCAAGTACTTCAGCCCACCCACTAGCCAGCCCCCAGGGGTACACTCATAGGAAGAAGTGAGGCCAGCCTGCATGCCCTAGTAATGATTAATGAGAGTAAACATCATTATGGGGCAGGGACTCCAAGCTGTCACAGGCGAGAGCTCTCCTCAGCCTTCCCAACTGCTTCAGGAGACCATCTGGACTCCATTCAGAATTAGGTGAGCAAAAGGCCACTCTGCTTTGCTGTCACCCATGCACCTGCTCCACGTTCACTGTATCACACTTGTGGATTCAGCTCACGCTGGTTTGAGAAACCATCTATGTTATTTTTTAAGAGAACTAGCGTGTATCTGCTGTATAGGAAGCATAATAAAAATACAGCCTGCTGCCTAAGTGGAAAGGACAGAGGGTCAACATCCTAAAAGACTCAGATATGATGACTTGAAGTATCATCACATGTAACTGCAGCATCTAGTCCCACAAAAGAATCTGTAAAACAAATTAAAAATCTTGTTTTCCGTACAGCAGCATCTAGGGAGAATTAGGCATTTCTGCACAGGATTAATAACAGCATAAACAAGCACTGTAACTCACTAATAAAGAAATGCCAAACAATGCATCTTCTGAAGCCGTGTTTCTTTTCAGGACTAAGATACCTAACTGAAGGCTGAAGGTGGGAGATTCAAAGGAATGGGATTAATAGTGCTAAATCCCGGCAAGACTTAGGTGTTCAAGTCAATCACTTTTAGGAAGAGAAAAATGGTGGTGCCCACCTTTTCTACACTAGCCTAGAGTTACAAAAAAAAAACCCCCAAACTACTAGTTATGTGTTTTCTGTTGTTTCTATCAATTCTGATGAATGAACACTTAAGTCTGTGGATTTTTGGAGATCTCTGGACTATATACTGCCAAAGTGCTCACCCAGGGAAGCAGATTTTGGCAGGTACAACCACAAAATTTCCAGCATCTACAATAATTTATGGGCAAAAAAATTTCAAGTGCTCAGAAAATTAGTTATTCTAAATTGCAGTTTGAGTTTGGGGCTTAGCTACCTAACTTCCACCGAAGTCCCACTTTAGACACTTCAGTATTTATGAAGATCTCCACCAGGACCCCTGAAAAAGACTCTCAGACAGTTCCAAGGATCAAAATCTACATGAAAAGGCTGTAAGGGATCTGCAGTCTAGGTTTTATTACAGAACAGCAGAGACTAGGATGTGCTACAAGCTCTGCCCTCTGCTCACAGTTTGAAAGACACTTCTTCCCACCTAGAGTGTGGCAACAGGCTACATTATCAAAGTCTGATCTGGCATATGTCAGTTCTATCTCTTACACTACGTATGTTTTCCCTGACACTAATTATTGCAGATTAGTTACTCTAATCAATTAGACAGCACAGCAAAATTGACAGGATGAATGCAATGTAAGCTGCTAAAAAGGAATTAACTGAAAGCAATACATCTTGTTAAAAAAAAAAAAAGTAATCTACACAATTCTATCGCACTGGGAATCAGTCTTCTACAGCATATTTCAGAGAGTAATAATAAAAACCCAAAGAATTAAATTAGCATCGGCAAAATAAATTAATCTAAGACAAACCTGGTTCTGATAATGGGTTCTTTATCATCATATTCCCCAGATAGTATTCTTGGATGTTTATTTTCTACAATTAAAAGAAGTTAAAACAAATTTCAGTTACCTTTTTCCATACTTTTTCAAGTGTACAGGAATTCAAGTCTTCTAGAGGAGTTAAGCATGAACATGCCCGTGGAAAAGGAGGTTGAGACTCTTAAGAAGCCTACCTGTCCCGTTTCCTTCTCCTCATGATATTGACGGATGTGTTTTCCGTGGCAGACCTCATAAGTCCAGTAAGATTCAATCTTTAAAAAAAAAAAAATCTTTTTTTTTAAAAATCTGTTTAGATACATTACACACACCCTCCTCCCTTTAAAAAAAAGAAAAAAAAAATCTGGCTTTTGCAGCAATGAAATGCAGCTCAAGCAGGTGGGCTTGGCCAGCCTCAAAACCAATAGCACAGTGAACAGTCTGTGTTCCCCAAGCATTCTGACGATGTTCCAGATAAAAACACCAGGCAAAGTTTCCTTAACTTTCACACAGATAAAAGAAAAACATTAAATAAGATGCAAAGACTAAACTTGCCCCCAAACCCCTTGGGCTAAACTGCAGTGACTCAGCACAGACTGGTTTTGGCAACTGTTGTAGATACAGGCTGGTTACTGATTGTGCTTGACCCACTCCTCCTTCCTCAAGGACTTGCGTGTGTTGTGTAGGTATAAAATTTGGCCACTTTCGCTGTGTCTGGTTCTCAGTACCAGCTTGTTTGGTATTAGGCTTGCTCTTGTAATGCAAGATGAGTCTCTGAATTGGGATGACAGCTGATGAAAACCAGGAAAGCTTTCAGAATCTGTAGAAGCATGTTTGGTTTGGTCTTCTAACACCTTCTGAGAAATGCTTTCCATTAGACTGTCAGATGTTATGGATTGACTTCTGGAAGTAAGCGTTTTAAAACCACATTTTTAAGCTGCTACTATAGCAAGCCAATTTACTTGAATCCTGAGATCTACACTAAACACTACCACTACATTAACCCTTGAAATGGACTGGGTTGTAAACTTTTAATTAGCATTTAAATGATCAACACAGAAGTAACATACTCTATACGAACAGCTACTTTGCTTAAAAAGTGGTTCCAGCAACTCTCCTGGAGTAGGACCTTTATAGTCCTTTTCTTCTTCCTAGAACAGAAGGATATTTCTCACATTAAAATTAACAACAGTTTTCTTGATTGATATTCACTTGCAATAGTAAAAACCAAAATAAAAGTTGCAAAATGAAAATGTACAAAACCTCATTAATTCCTGCTCTGAAGGAGCTGTGTGGTGATTAGAAAACATAAGAGATAATTGAGTAAGAAGGGGAAAATAAAAGTCAGAAATAAAGTAGTCAGAAAAGTTTTGTGGTTTATAAAATACACATGTGGCAAGAGTAAGAGCTCTCAACTTGCTCATGTCCAGAGTGACAGCTTGGGCTGTGACTAGGAAAACAACATGAACAGTCTTTTCATTTGTTAGTTGATGCTGATGCTGTACGGATGCACATAACTGGAATATCACACAGCTTTGACATAATTTTTTTTAAACGGATCAAAAAAAGCATAAGTAATACTGTGGAAGTTTATTTCTGTGTAATTTTTGCTCTGTAAGGGTATACACTATTGAAGAGATTTCCATACAAAGTTCTTCAGTACTAGAGATTTCTCACCTAGACTGAAGCACTCGGGACTATCAGTCACATAAAGGATGAGGGCTACGTCAGCATGGAGGTGCCCACCACAGCAGTACAGCTCGTCTGTGTCAGCTCTCACAGTATGAAAAAATGAACCAATGATAAACCTCACCAAAGGCCTCCTCAATCCACATCCTCTTGTACAAACATGTATTTATATACCTTTTTGTTTTTTAAAGCCCCAAATTATGCATTCAGATTTCCAAATGAGGAAGTGATGATGGAGAATAAAAACTACTAGTGATAGCTGTCCTACTGTGTTAGTATTTTCAGATACAGCAATCATGATAGCAGTGTCAACAACCTTTGTAGTTGTTTACTGGCCTAGAGTTTGATAAGGTTGCTTAAAAGATGAGAATTTCCCAATCAGTGATAGACCTAACAATAAACAGAACACGTATCAATCCTTTGTTGCCAAACAAGGACTTCAAGACTGTTCAGACTGGCCCCCATTTAGTATAGAGCCAGTAAGTAGTACAAAGTGAAGGCATCTACTATGAACTGTGAAAGTGTGAAGCATTCTACATGTGATTTTCCTTTTACAAGAAAAAAAAAAAAAGTATTTTGGAAAAGTAACTGAAAAGATACTGTTAAGACTTTGTCTACAGTTTATAACTACAATAAAGACTTGACTGAACTTACCTCATTGCCACTTGCTATCAGCGGAAGTATACATTTATATTTTTCTTTATCCACAGTGGTCATTATAATATAGTTATCCTCTTTGTACAGGACACCAGTTGTAGGCTAAAAAGAACAGCCAACCTAAGGATTAGTCAGGTGGGGTTTTTTAATGCCACTTGTTAGAAATATTCCTGAATTTGTAAATGTTACAGTTAGTTCATAGGACAGGTGGTCCTGAGCATTTTCTGGGTCTTAATTATAACCAGCACAAGACCGGGCTTTGGCCTCTAACCTTGCCAGTCCGCATTAGCCTTCTCCTTTACTTCAATCCTTCTGCCTCCAGCCACGTTCCCACTCTCTTCCATGCTCAGCTTACTCCCGCTTACATTGTTTCTCGTTCTTTCTGGAGGACCTTTACGAAAGCCGTACCACCATGCCGGTGACGCTTGGCGCCCACCCATTCCCACGCTGGCTTTCAGGGTAGATTTCCCCGGGATTCCCCACCTGCTCGGCTCGGGCCTAAGGCTCAGGCCCGGCGCACGTGGAGGCACTTACTGCTTGTGACCCCTGCCCACCCCCGGGGTGATGCTTAAGGCACGCCCCAGCAAGGCAACGCTGGCAACACCCTAAACCCCCTTTCTGCGGCACGGGGGCTTCAAAAGCAAAGCCGGGCGGGAGGGGGCTCCGGCCGTTGCCCCCAGCTCCTGCCGCCCGGGTTGCGCCGTTAGCAGTTCGAGCCGCCCAGCTCCTCGAGGTAGGGAGGCTGCTAAGTAGGGGTGAGAGACCCCTCGCACCCCCGCCGCCGCGGTACCGACCAGGCTGAATTCGGTGCCGGGCCAGTTCACCCTGAAGGGGATGTCGTCGCTGAGCTGAGGGAGCGCGCGGCCGCTCTCCGCCACTGCCGCCGCTGCCAGGAGAGCGCAG